TCAGGGAGTTCCAAGGCTGCATCTTCCTCAGGGATGTGTTTTGGTTTTTTTTCTTGGTCCCTTGTTTCTCCTGCTTTATCTTGCTTCTTGGTGTGGACTGTGATGCTCTGTTGTCTCTGAGGCATTGTGACGTTTTTGTTTTTATATTTAATTTGTGATTATCTGTTGGAGTGACTTGCCCACAATTTTCATTTTGTTTTGTTTGTATGTTATCTATATAGGCAGGGTACTGGGCTGTGCTCCTCTATTCACTAGTTAAGAGCACTTATACACTCACCACCTGTCTCCTTTCCTTTGTCAGCCTCTCATATGTCCTTGCTGACCCTGGCAAAGAGAGCCTGTTCTTAGGTCCCTGGAATCCAAATGAGAATGTTATCACTTTAAAATCCAAAATGGTTGCCACTTGTAAACATTCAAAATGGCTGTGCCCTCAGTCACTTTAAATATCCAAAATGGCTGCCACGTGTAAGCAATCAAAATGGCTGCACCCTCCGGACAGCAGGAAGTCCACAGCTCAGGCTGTCTCCCTCCTGGCTGTTTCCCTTCCTAGTCATAGGCCACCAGAGCAGTTGTCCCTGTAGCCCTTGGTGACTGGGACTGGTCTTTAGGTCAATTCTCAGGTCCCCACACCACTTGGAAATATTCAGGCTGTTGGTCTTATCAGAGTAGCTGACAGTCCACAACTCCAACTATCTCTGTACTCATTGTTTTTGTTCAGGTTTTTCTACTAGTTGGTGCCTAATCCACTTCTGTATAGTTCCTTTCAAAGCTCAGGGTTCCAGGATTATCTTCTGTATCTCTGCCAACTGGTTTTTCTTTTCTCTGTTGAAGAGGGTCTGTGTCACTTGTCTGCCTATTCCTTCATCTTACCAGAAGTCCCTCTTGTTTTTCATTTTTAATTAAAAACCTGAAAGGCTTGCACTGAAAATTTACTAGTCCCTTAAATGACCTCTTTCCACCCACAGTGTTGCTGGGAAGGGATCTTCTGAGTTTTTCTTGGGAAGCTTAGTTTTTTCCTAGATGTCTGCAGTTTCCAGGGTGAGAGAGTGTGTGTATGTGTTGTTAGGTACTATCGAGTCGCTTCTGACTCATAACAACCCTATGTACCACAGAATGAAACCCTGCCTGGTCCTGCACCATCCTCACAATTGTTGCTATGTTTGAGCCCATTGTTGCAGCCTCTGTGTTGATCCATCTCATTGAAGGTCTTCCTCTTTTCTGTTGACCCTCAACTTTGCCAAGCATGATGTCCTCCTTCAGGGAATGGTCCCTCCTGATAACATGTCCAAAGTACGTGAGACAAAGTTTTGCCATCCTCGCTTCTAAGGAGCAGTCTAGCTGTATTTCTTCCAAGATAGATTTGTTTGTTCTTCTGAGAGTCTAGGGGTATATTCAATATTCTTCACTAACACTATAATTCAAATACATCAATTTTTCTTTAGTCTTTCTTACTCATTGTCCAGCCTTCACATACATATCAGGTGATTGATAATACCATGGCTTGGGTCAGGTGCAACTTAGTCTTCAGAGTGACATCTTTCCTCTTCACTTTAAAGAGTTCTTTTGCAGCAGACTTGTCCAATGCAATACATTGTTTGATTTCTTGACTCCTGCTTCCATGGGCAGCATGGAAGCATGATTATGAATCCAAGTAAAATGAAATCCATGACAACTTCAATCTTTTCTCCATTTTTTATGTTTACTAGTCCAATTGTGAGAATTTTTGTTTTCTTTATGGTGAGGTGTAATGTATACTGAAGTCTATAGTCTTTGATCTTCATAAATAAGTGCTTCAAGTCTTCTTCACTTTCAGCAAGCAAGGTTGTGCCATTTGCATATTGCAGGTTGTTAATAAGTCTTCCTCCAATCCTGATGCTGTGTTCTTCTTCATATAGTTCAGGTTCTTGGATTATCTGCTCAGCATGTAGATTGAATAAATGTGGTGAAAGGTTACAAACCTGGCACATACCTTTCCTGATTTTAAACCGTGCAGTATCCCTTTGTTCTGTTCCAATGACTGCCTCTTGGTCTATGTACAGCTTCTACAGGAGTACAATTATGTGTTCTGGAATTGCCATTCTTTGCAATGTGACCTATAATTTTTTATGCTCTACACAGTCAAATGCCTTTGTATAGTCAATAAAATACTGGTAAACATCTTTCTGGTATTCTCTGCATTCAGCCAAGATCCATCTGACATCAGCAATGATATCCCTTCTTCCACATCCTCTTCTGAATCCAGCTGGAATTTCTGGCAATTCTCTGTTGATGTACTGTTTTAACCATTTTTGAATTATGTTCAGCAAAATTTTACTTGCATGTGTTATTAAAATGATATTGTTTGATAACTTCCATGTTCTGTTAGGTACTGAATAGGTAGGAGGAGGTCATTAAGGAAGAAGCCCTGGTGGCACAGTGGTTAAATGCTTGGTTGCTAACCGAGAGTTCTGTGGGTTGAATCTCAGCTGCTTCTCAGGAGGAAAAGATGTGGCAATCTGCTTCTGTAAAGATTACAGCCTTGGAAACCCTGTGGGGGAGTATTTACTATGAGTTGTATGGTTTTTGTTTGTCATCAAGGTACAGAGATGTATGTCTTTCTTTAGGATCTTTTGTTTGCAAATAAAAGAAGCCCACCAGGCTGTTTTAAGTCACAAAATGAATTTCCTTATGGAATCAGAGGTGCCTCATGGAGCCCAAGGGCAGACCATGCAGCCAGGCCCCAAGGAACCATGGGAAGGGAGTGTCTCAGGCTGGGCAGATGTCTACCTCTGTGTCCTAGGAAGGGCACACACTTTGGACTCATAAGACTGGGGACCATCCATAACATGTCTCTAATCCTCAATTTCCTCATATGAAAAATGGATGTACTTGTGCTACAGCATAGGGGTGTGGTAAGGGTTAAATGAAGTGTGAAGCATCTCACACAGTGAGATCTTCCACACACTAGTTAGTGCCTTTCCACGCCCCTTCCTCTCCCCCTTAAAGTGGGTAAAGAGAATAGTGGGGTGCTGAATTCTTTGGTTTTCCAGCCTCAGAAACACTGCCCAACAGGAACTAGCTGATGGAGAGGGAGAAGCATCACTGGGAGGTGGGGCCCCTGAGGTCCTGAACTCTCACCCCTTTTCACTCCTCTCCAGGAAGCTGAAGAAGAAACTACCCCCAACCATCAAGTCAATTGGTGACAGGAAAGAAAACCTGTATCTGGTAACAGAAGCTCTGGTGACGGCACAGGAGGCCACCCTAAAGAATGAGCAGCAGTTTACATTTTTGAGCCTGATAGATTGGAGCAAACTCAGCTTTAAGCACAAGGTTAGGATTCTGGGAGGCAGGGATGGAAGGAGACCCAGTCCTAGCCCACCTGCTGCAGGTCGGGGCATGGCAGCCCAGACTCCAGGTTCTTCAGCTTTTCTCTCAGACTTTCCTGGGCAGCTTTGGCCTCTCCTTGGTCCTCTTTTTCTCTTCTTGCCTCAAGAAAGTGTGTGTGGCATTGCTGATTAAGTCTCTCCCCCTCCACTCTACTGATGCCTGCTTTTTGTTTTCTTCATAGCACTTCCTGCTGTTTATAATTACACAGGTGTTTTTGCTTGTTCATGTCTGCCTCCCTGCTAAGTGGTAGGAGGACTATAATGATACAAAGCAGGTCCACGAACATTTGTTGAATGAACAGTGGAGTCAGATAATTTTGGAGGCAGTCTCAGCTCTGCCACTGTTTTTAGTTGTGGGAATAGATCACCTACTTGCCCTCTCTGAGCCTTCCAGAGAAAACCTGTAAAGTGGGGTAAGAATACTCACAGGATTGCTTGGGAGAGCAGACAAGATAACTATGTAAAGCACACAGGGATCTATCAATGTGAGCTTCTTTCTCCTAGCATCAAACATCGGTGACCATCCCCTCCCAGTGTGTCTTGGGATATCGAATCAGTCAGCTCGTCCTCAACACAAAGACCTCAACACTGGGTAAGCAGGGCCTAGTAGGGGAAAATGGCAGAGGGACACTGAACACATGAGCGGGGTGGGTGTTGATTCAGTCGGGCTGTGCGTTAAGCTGGGCCAGGTGAGCTTGGAGGTGGGGAGGGTTCCAGGGAAGAGGGAGGGTCCAGGACTAGGAAGTAGGAGTTGGGCTCCTTGCTCCAACCTCGCTGACCCAGGATTTGCTCACTATGACACCAGTCCTTCCCTAGAAGGTAAGGATTTAGTCTCCCCAATGTATATTTAAAAATTTTGATGGCAACAGGGCATGGGGTTTGGGGTAGGATTGGAAAGAGGGTAGTTACAGAGAGATAACTGGTCTTTGTCTCATTTTTTTGGGTTTAGAGATTTGTTTCCATGACAAAAAAAAATCCTTTCCAGAAGGTGAGTGAGCTGCTGGGCCTCCTATTCATCATTCCAGAATGGGCAAGGATGCTACTTTTAAGAAGAGGATAATAAAGGTTCAAAATTGTGACGTTGTTAGGGCTGAGAACGTGGTAGGAGGCACTTAAGGGCGGGAACAGTGGTAAGGGCAGGAAAAAAGGCTCCATTGTATGTTGTCCTCTCAGGACACATTTGACTTGCTTTGTGCTGGATGTTGTGCTGGGTCTTGGGCTTACCTGGAGCTTATTGACTGAGGAAGCATACTTGAATTACCTGGCCAGTCCCCAGCATTGGCATAGGCAGAATCCTATGGTTGCCTGATGGAGGATGTCGGAAGTGTATGCAAACACAGTGCTCTGCCATATGCATGCAACGATGAGGATACAGGCTCCCTGGCAATGGGCAGTGAGGGCTTAGAGTCCAAGAATGAACACTGAGAAGAGAATGTCCAGAGGGAGCTGGAGGTGATCTGTAAATTCTGAGACGGTTATTCTTCTCTTTGCAGAAACTGATGGTGATTCATCCTCTGGAGGTAAGGATGGGAGCCAGCTGTGTTAAGGGTGGCCAAGCTCCTGGCCCTAGGACTGTAGCTCAAATGGACGCAGCCAACTGGGTACAGGTAGAGAAGAAAGGGTAGTAATTCTCAAACTTGGTTATACGTTGAAATCACCTGGGGAACTTTAACAATATTGATATCTGAATCCCAGTTCCAGAACTTTGATTTACTTGGTCTGAAGTATATCCTAGGCATTAAGACTGTTCATAAAGTCCCCCCAGGTGATTCTCATGCACAATCACTGCTCTAACTCTTCTTCTAAATCCTCACTATCCTGTGTGGTTCAAGGAATGCACTTTAAATGGCAAGGAATAAATAACTAAGTCTTGATTTCCTTGAGGTGGAGAACACTTTGGGGTTGAAAACGGGGGTGAACTGGAGAGATGAAAGTGGGGACAGCAGGAAGCTATGATGGTGGGTGCTTGGGAGGAAGGATGGTTCATTTTACCAGGGAAAGACTGGAAGAAGGGAAGACATTGAGAGGTGGTCTCCAGAGCAAAGGATGAGGTCTAGAGGAGTGGTGAGAATGGAGACTCAGGGTGGGTGGGTTGGGTCCTTCACTGTTGCCTGTACAGAGAGAGCTCTGAGTTTGGAAGATCTCAGAAACATGAAGGAAAAGGTGCAGGACTTGATGGATGGCCTCCAGGATCTGACTAAGGAGGAGCGAACAGACATGCGAAACTGCCTCACTAACTTCCTCAGCAATGACCACCTGGAGGATCTGGAGGAAAGATTAAGGGCCTAAAGAAAGAATCGGATCGGAGAGTGGGAGGAGCCAGTGGGAAGGACAATCTGCTACAATGGAACTGGTGCTCATTTGCCCCATCTCCTGGCCCCAGGTGTCCGAGGTTGTGATCTCCGGTGAACTGCAGACGGAGGACCCAGCAAGTCCTCTCATAGCCAGCCTTTTTAACGATGCTGGGATCTTGGTAGAGGCACGTGCAGAAGCTATTCAGGAACTCCTGGATGCCTTGATGGGTGAGGAGGGGTCTAGCTATATGTTTGGGTGGAGGTCATGCTGAAAGAGGAGCCTGTGGGGAATCAAATCTTCGGAAAAGAGTGCTCATTACTGTTTACACTTTGTGAGGAATCCAGACAAAAACCAAACCTCACCACCATCGAGTTGGATCTGATTCATAGCAACCCCTCCCTGGGTTTCCAAGGCAGTATCACTATGAAAGTAGATTGCCCAATCTTCCTTCTGAGGAGTAGCTGGTGGGTTTGAACAACCAGCCTTCTAGTTAGCAGTCAAATGCTTTAGGCACTATGCCACCAGAGCTCCTTTGTGAGGGATAGGCTTTCACATTTCAGAGACAAGCAGTCTTCCGCAGGTTAGGCATCGAGAGACTGCCTTGGCACAGCCTATGACCTTTTACTAAGGTTAAGAGGGAGTAAGAGTCTCACCAGAGCTCCTTTGGAATAACTCATCTAGCACTCCCAGAGGCTCTATGGAACCTCCTCCTCCTCTTCTGGAACATTTTATTGTAAGTTGGGTGAAAGTTTACAGAGAAAATTAGTTTCCTATTCAACAATTGATACATATTTTATTTTGTACCATTAGTTGCAATCCTCTCACTGTGGAAGCACTCTGACCACTTCCTCCCTGGGGTCCCCATTTCCATTTGTCCATCTTTTCTCCCCCTTCTTGCTCTCTGAACTTTGTTTCTGGGCAAATGCCCTTTTGGTTTCATATAGTTGAATGTTTTGAAGTGCATGTTCCTCATGGGCGTTACTGTTCACTTTATAGGTTTGTCCCTGAAAGGTGATTTCTGGGAATGGGTTCAGTTCCAGGTTTGAAATGTCTAATGACCATTGTCTCTGACTATTAAGCGTGGTATTCCTTTTTTTAAAATATAATTTTTGTTCTATATTTTTCTCCCACTCTGTCCAGGATCTTCTATTGTGATCTTGATCAGAGTGGTTGGTAGTGGTAGCCTGGCACCATTTAGTTCTGGTCTCAGGCTAGTGGAGGCTGTGGTTTGCATGGACTAATTGTTTCCTCAAGTCTTTGATTTTCTTCACTCTTCTTTGCTCCAGATGGGAAAAGACCAATAGTTGTACCCCAGATGGCTGCTCTCAAGCTTCTAATACCCCAGTCTCTACTCACGAAAGTAGGATGTAGAACATTGTCTTTATGGATTATGTTATGCCAGTCGACCTAAATGTCCCCTAAGACTATGGTTCTCAGCCCTCAAGCCCTTAAGGTGTTTGGTTATGGCTAAGAGGTTTGCATAACTTTGCCCCTATATAAACCTGGATGTATTTTCAGCACATACAGATACGTATGTAGAAATATCCCCTGCGAAACCTATGTATGGTCATGGGTGTACTCACATACACCATCCCACTCCTGTTCAGCTTACATATCTACCTAGGCATTCACTTGTAAATTACTGCTTATTATTACTGTTATTGTAGGATTGTGTATATAATAGTATTCACCACAGCTGCTTTTTACTCTTGCATACCTCCCAGTGTCTTCCGTTGCCTTGGGCATGTTGTGCTGACTTGACCTTTATTGTGTATTGCCTTTCCCTTCACGCAAGTTAATAAATTCCTATTATCTAGTGATTTTCCCTCCATCCCCTTCCCATACCTGGCAAAAACAGCCTTCTGATGCTGGTCTGAGGCCTGATCAGATACTGGACACCTGTCCCACCATGCCCTTCTCTGCCAACAAACCTCTTCTTTGTCCATAGAGCTGCCCGAAGAATATCAGCAGCTGGTGCTTGAGGGTCTGGAGAAGGGCATACTGTCCTTGCTGGGACAGGTAAGACAGTTTGGGATGAGGGTAAGGGTCATAGTGGAAGTGGATGCCTATGTTTTTAAGGGACCCAGAAGCCCCAGGGCACAATCTTTTCCTACTTAAGAGTTCTCTGCCAGCTCACATTCATGCAGCTGGTTAATGGCAATTCTCTGGACACACAGTTGCCATAAGAATTTGGGATGGGCTCTTTAGACTCTCTATGCAGAAGAGAGGTGTGGAAAATTGTTAGTCCCAGTATGGCAGTTGGTACCATCTTGAGTGCCACCACTATGTTGAAAGAGTATGAGGCACTCTAGGCACTGCAGAAAAAAGTGCCATGATTGACTACTGTGCCTGCTATGGGCTCAGGAGGAAGGAGTATTGTCAGGTATTTGGTGTTTCTGGTATATTTCCTTGTTCCCAGCTTCTAGTCTGGTATGTTTCCTTTTAGGTGGAGAGTGCCCTGGAGAACTGTAGCGAGCAGTACAGCAATCCCCATGACATGGGCTGTGACTCTGAGACACAATCCCTCTGTGCCCTCTATGTTGCTCTCTCCATCCTGCTACAGCTGGCTGAGAAGCCTACCTCCTAACTACACAAGGCTTTCCACCATTCTTCCTCTAGTCTCTAGGTTCTCCCCTCCTTCTAGTCCAGCCTCACCACCACCACGGTGTCATCAGCATGATCTCTTGAAAATAAGCATCTTCTTATCCTTTGATGCATCCCATTCCCTACATGATAATATCCAAAATCAGCCTGGATTTTACTCATGGACTTCTGATTAAAGTGGCAGACTGATCATATTAATTTCCACTTTCTTTTGAAACCCCACTAAATGGCAGTAAAGTGATAAAAAAAAAAAAAAGTTATAAACCCACAAGGATAAAAAGAATGAGGCAGTAGATAAGAGATTCCAACATGTCTTTCATAGCTAGAAAGCAATTAAAGGAGACATAGGACTAAGGGGTGGAGAGGAATGGGGGTGGGGACTGATGTTTTTCATCATAAGCCTTTTAATTCTTTTTTATTTTTTGAAAAAGAAAATGCAATTAAAAGTAAGATAAATGTATGCTTATTGTAAAGCGTTTCAAACATTTCTCAAAGTAGAAGGTAAATGCTATGACCTACACTTCTCCCTCCAATATGACCACTGTTAACAATGTGGGCTGAGTTAACATTTTTCCTCTTTTTACAATAGTAATTAAAAAAGTAAACTAGGATGATGTACCATAGATTAGTTTCATATCTTCTGAACTATGTTTTCTTCTTTAATTTTAAAAAACTATTACATGCAAAAGGAACTCATATATAGTGCTGTTGGGAGTGTATATTGGTCAACCACTTTGGAAGACTGATGGTAGCTACTAAATCTAAACATACGCCAATGACCTGGAATTCTCATCTTAGGTATATATCCAAGAAGAATGAATGCATGTATTTACCAAAAGACATGGATATAAAAACATGTAACAGGAACTTTATTTTTAAAAGCCCCGAACTGAAACTATTCAACTGTCCAATAACATTAGGATGGATACACACACTGTATTATATTCATTTACCAATTGTCAAGCTGGGTTCTCTAGAGAAGTAAAACCAGTGAAACGTGTCTCTCTCTCTCTCTCTCTGTGTGTGTGTATGTGTGTGTGTGTAGAGACAGAGATTTATCTCAAGAAAGGGTCTCACGAGGTTGTAGAGGCTGGCAAGTCCTCTGGTCAGCTGGAGGCTTCTCTTGACTTACATAGCTGCAGGGGCTGACAAATATAAGATTGGCAGGCAGTGCAGTAGGCTGCTGGCTGTGGAGGCTGATGAATCCAAGATTGGCAGGTAAGATGGCAGGCTTCTGGCTCACAGGCCACAAAGGCAACAATCCCAAAATTGGCAGGCAATACGGCAAGGCTGCTGGTTCAACTCCAAAGACCTGGAGGTTAGATGATGATGAGCTCGAGGCAGGATTCAGATCCATCAGAAAGCTTTGCCAGAATGTCCATATATATTGGGAGCAGGCCACACCCCCAAGGAGACTTCATTTCAGCTGACTGGCTGCTTCAGATCTCATCATAGAGGTGATTACATTTTACCAGACCTCATCATAGGGGAAGACTACATCATAACTGCCAAACCACTGAGAATCATGGCCCAGCCAAGTTGACATGCAACTTTAATCATCACGCCAACATACAACTTAACAATAAAAGGAAATAAGTTAATGCTATGCACAGCAATGGATGACTCTTAAGACATAATACTGAGCCAGATACAAAATAATATATTAATATTTGAGTCCTCTGATAAGCAGATGGCAAGATGGAATTAGATGTACAGAGACTTATTGGGGGAAAGGCCTGTGAAAAATAAAGCAGGAAGTAGCAGTAGGCAGGGAGAGCCTTCAGACTATGATACAGGTCTGAAACATGTGAAAGAGAAGGAAGGAAAGATCTAGTAGGAAGAGCCTCAGATTGCAGCACAATTCTGAGAAAGTCTCAGCCAAGATGATGGGGATTCTCCAAACCAAAGTTGCCTATGAAAGGAGTCCCTGTCAGGCAGGGATGGCAAGGTCTATTACCCCTGCCATGCTTAGCCTTTGGCTGAGAGGAAGCCTGGGGAAGCTTTGTTTTGGGAAGTAAGATTTAAAGGGGTGGCAGCTGGTGGTTCTTAGTCAACAATGCTCTCTACAGCAGATTCTCTTAAAGGACATCTGAACAGTGCCCTCGATGGCTGCCATGATCCATTTATATTCAGTTCAAGAATAAGCAAAACTATGCAATGGTGTTAGAAGCCAAAAGTGGTATTTATCTTAGTGGGGACAGTATCAATTGGGAAGGGGCATGAGGGGATCTTCTGGGATATTGGAAATGTTCTAGATATTGATGTAGGTTGTGGTTATACAGTATCTATCTATCTATCTAGATACATATTTTTACATATATATATATTAATAGGAGCTCTGGCGGCATAGTGCCTAAAGCATTTGACTGCCAACCAGAAGGTTGGCAGTTCAAACCTGCCAGCCACTCTGCAGAAGGAAGACTGGGCAATCTACTTCTGTAAAGATTTACTGCTTTGGAAACCCAATGGGGGTTGCTATGAGTCAGAATCGGCTCAATGGCATGAGTTTCTCTCTCTCTCTCTCTATATATATATATACATATTCATTGAGCTAAAAATTAAGATCAATGTACTTTTTAAGTATATTATACTTTAAGTATATTATACCATCATTTAAAAGTTTTAAAAAAGTACACACTGTATGGTTTCATGAAAATGAAGTGAAAAATATGCAAAAGGAAATGAAATCAGAATAGTGGTTAATCACTGGGGGGCAGAATTGTCTGGGAAAGGGTAGGACAGAATCTTCTGGGGTGCTGGAAATATTTTATATTTTGATATGGGAGGTTATTATACTAATATTTACATGTGTAAAAAGGCACTGAACTGTATACACTTAGGATCAATGCACTTTACTCTATGTTTTATTTAAAATTTAAAAACACAACATATGCACATGAAAACATATTTGAACAGTTGTTGTTGTGTTGTTGTTATGTGCCGTCGAGTCAAACCCGACTCATAGCGACCCCTCCTTGGGTTTCCAAGGCAGTATCACTACGGAAAAGATTGCCCGACCTTCCTTCCGAGGAGTGGCTGGTGGGTTTGAACCGCCAGCCGTCTGGTTAGCAGGCAAGTGTCTTAGCCACTATGTTACCAGAACTCCTAACAGAATACAAAAAGAAAATGAGTCTCATCTCAAGCCCCTCCACCCCATAACCTAGTCCTACTTTCCTAACACAGCTGTATCAACAGTTTTTTAAAATTTGTGTACTTGTTACTATCATATGAAAAAATCATCTTATATTTAGTTCTTGATTTATTAACCTTAGATTGTATCTGCTGACTCTCTAACATGAAAGACGAATATTGAGGAAAACAAGTTCAAAGTGAGAAAAGTGTTATAAAAGAACAATTCAGGGTACTATGAAAGTGTTCAATAAAAGGAAACAGGGAAAGGGAACAGATGAATAAACTACTGATTTAAAAAATTAAAATGGTAACAGGAGTGGTCCCCCTTATCTCTGCCACCACCCCTTCTCTCTTCCTTAAACTCTGACTCCAGCCACACTAAACTATTTGTGTTCCATTTGAACATTCCATGCACTTTTACAACTACATGCTTTTACACAAGTGGTGCTCTCCCTCTGCCTGGATTACCTTCTCCCATTTTATCCACTCATTAAGCTCTAGTTCAAATATCCCTTCCTCAGTACATTCCAGTTCCCAAGGGATTTGTTTACTTTCTCCTCTCTATGGCCTGCAGCATGGTGAATACATTTCTGTCATGCACTCATCATACTGTAGTGAAATTATTTATGTATCTATTCCACTAGTCTGAAAGCTTTTGGAGGACAGGGTTCAAGTCTATTTTCTGTCAGGGCTCAATAACCAACTTTCCTTCAACAGGGCCTTTGAG